TCCTGTCTTTCTCTTAATGTTCATCCAAATGGGCAGCCGAAAGATAGCAACCAAAACCAGCGCACGATAGTGCATGGATAATGGTTGGACAAACTGAAACTGATATCATTCTGCTACCAAAGTCTCATATACGCGTTCTGTTTCACTCCTCTGTATTCCGTAAGTTATGATAGAAATTCACCCGTTTTGTGAGCATAAAGCTAGCTTATGGTTGAACTTGAATCCACTGGAACAGCTCAATAACCTATCGGTCGTTGTGCCTTACTGTCAAGAAAATTTTGGCTAAATGTCATCAAATCCAAAACTTTAACGGCGCCTGTATGGTTGTGCATTTTATCGCAGTCTAAAGAGAACGATGGATATCAGTTGGAATTCAGTCGTTAGATGTCTGATCAGATGTTGAGTGTGAATTCTAGCTTGGTTTCGATTGTTTCTCCCCACATAGTCGAAAAGGTTGACGCTGTGAATCCATTTCTCTTTTTTCAGGCCTTATCTGGCAGGTAAACGATGCTTGCATTCGAACAATGGTTGCATCGCATAATAGGCTGTATTTAGCACGGCTTTGTAAATGAAAACGTAGATCATCAACTGGCTAATTCGTCACAATTTGCATATCATCATTTTTTATAGAAAAAGAAGTAACATAATTGATGATTATTCAAACGGAGATTTTTGTTGTTGTTGTTGCTTCCTGTCTCCGTTTCATAAACCCCAAATCACACAAGTAACGCGGGTCAAGCGTAAGTTCCGATGGTAGGATCAGCGGTATCCGGTTCGCGAAACTGAGACAGATAAGAACAACAAAAATCTTCATTTGAATAATCATTCGTTTTGTTTCCTCTTCTGTATACAAAACGATTTGGTATAAAATGTGACTTATAGCCAGTTGATGAGTCAGCGAAAAAAAGCTTTTTCGCTAAACTGCGTTTTTCATTCGATGGTGGGGTTATCGCTAAAATCTCGCGAATGACAGCGACTTTGACCGCCTAACCACCACCCACAGTGGGTTAATTAA